TTACTTCAGACTAGAACTAGGGGTTGCGGCTTGCGGCATTGATAACATCCATTGTTGATTTGGCGGGATTGAACCCGGGACCACGGGAACTGAAGTCCCGCGCTCTAACCACTAGACCAGTTCGCTCCCCCCGTCAATATACTACCACTATATAATTTGTATGTAACAGGATTGACGTTTTAGATATGTCTAGGTTCTAAACTGACCTATCCGAACACAACCTAATCCTGAACAGAGTTTGTAGATTATTTAACTAACATTTCAACTTTAAAAAAAGTTTAGGTTATGAGTTAGCGGAAAAGGTCCAAAATACACGCTATTACATTATTATTATTATCGTAGCTTGAACTTTCTTCCTTACACTATTTGAAGGTTTATTTTCGTTCACATTTTTATTCATGCTTTGAAGAAAGAACAAGTTTGTGCGACGTTTCGTGGTCTAGAGTCAGATCCCGTCGTCAGGTGGCAAAGTAATTACAGTAAAACAGAACAAGATTAGCAACAAACCCAGTCAAAGCTTGAAAATCGTAAAAGAAAACCACTGATTAATACTTCCTTAGTTCCGCTATTCTTAAAGCTAAACCCAACGTCTGCTGTTTAGTTTTACTCTTTATTTACATTAGTTTCTCCACGATTGGAAAAATTAAACGACATGATTTCCTAAAGTCCAATGAACCTGGTTTGTGAACTCGTTCGAATTAACGTAGGTTTACACGAGGTAATTTAATCAAAATTGGATTATATTTACTCGAGTTATCGTGCTAACGGAAACATACATGTGAACGGGGTGGTGATTTTGGCCTCTGGAGTTATCTAAACGAAAAAGTAAAGTGGCCCTGGAGCTAGGTCTTACCAGGAGACCTCACTCTCTATATGAAAATTTAACTAAAAATACAACCTGTTAACTTTAACTAATCTAGCAGTTCAACATGATCACTGACCGATTCGTCTGTTTAACATCATTACGTGCGTAGGGCGACTACAGTGACAGTAAGGGATGATGTGTATGTGTGGGGTAGTTGCGGTCGGAGAGCATGTCTCATTGTTGGCCATTATACCTGTCACTGTCGACCGCTTGTCATTGTACTACCACAACCCTTCATACAATCGCTACAATTAGTTAAAAAATCTACATAGTTAGTTATAGAGATGCGCGGGTTAGTTTGAACTGTAAATACATTGAACCAGTTATGTTTGTTCTACCAAGATCGAAATTGGGCATCCGTTTTGTCTATAGATTTGTTGTATGTTAGATCTTCGCATTAGGATTCTAGGCCTAGAACCGTTTACACATTACTTTAGGTTGGGCCTAGAAGTTCGTGGGAAATCGCGCGCCATTGGTGATTGCCGGGGTTCGAACTCGGGAACCTTGGGCACTGAAGCCCCGACTTTTGCCACACCTTACATGGTTTTCCATTAATTAGACGAGAAATATGTTTATTCGATAGTTTTTCTATACCAACTCGTTATTTATTGTGTCTACTTTAATGGCATTTATTGACGCTTTTTGTTAGGGATTGTTCTAAAACTCTGGTCTTGTCACTATCTAACGTCGACCTGTTGGAACGCATCATGAATTTGATTGTCCAATGACAAATGGCATCTGGTAACTCACCCGCTTGGATTCGAACCAGCGACCTTAAGATTTGAAGGCGAACATAACCACTCGGCTACCCACACAATTTGAATACACATGTGTAATTTCGTTTACCATAATTTTCGTACGGTGTATTATAGTAGTACGATAATTACCGTATAGTACCATAATTTTCGGTGTATTATAGTAGTACGATAATTACCGTATAGTACCATAATTTTCGGTGTATTAGCAGTACGATAATTATCGTATAGTACCATAATCAGTCTGCATCACTGCATCGCCTGTCTGTCTCAGTACAGTACAGTAATTAGTCACGTATCCGTCCATTGTTTACGACCCAGAGTACTTTTTATTTCCCAATTATTATTTCAGCGAGTCTTAGAAATCAAGAGGCCAAGACGCAACTTGATTGTTGGGCAAATTAAAACCACCCCTTCCCCTACTCACCCTTCCCACCCGCCTCGACGTTGACGTATACAAATTACATTTTAAGTTGAAGCGTAATTTAGACTCGGTCGTAAACGTAATCTCTGTCCGACTCGTGTTGTAAACGGTGAACGCCTCATTGCGGATATTATTACGTTTTTAATTAACTGAGTGTTAATTTTGTGAACGTGGTTTGTGTGGCTTAATTAGATGTTTTGCGGGATTTGTTGATATGAGATTTGATAAGAAATTTGGATATGATATGTTTCGTGAGGGAGTGTTATAGATATTGTAATGTTTGGGTTAGATTTTACAGGTTTTCATTTAGTTATCATTACTTTCTTCTTTGATCAAAACTCGGTGACATTATAAATTTATATTTTAGTAAAACTTCTGTAACAATAATAAATTTTAACTTTAAATAAATGTGTTTTCTCTTCCTACAGTTTTTTTACATTTAAACAATGTGCAAAAGTATTTTTATCAATTTAACATTAAAAAGCAAGAAAAAAATGATTCCTCAGTTCTTGTCCAAATTAAGCTTAAAAGATATCGTTGAAATCTGCATAAAATTTGCTAAATTTATGGCCTATCGCAGTTCTTTTGTAAAAATTAACGATTTTCATAGAATATGGCATCAAATATTTAAAATAGCCGTCGTTTTTATTAAAACGGTTTAAGAAGTTTTATTCGTATTTTGTAAAAATATAGTGGTCAATAAGATAAACATTTTTGCTGGATTTCAATCCTATTGCTCAAACCATCAAGGAGGTATGAATGTTTTTGTACTAAACACATACAGACAGATACAGTAGACCGTAAACGGAGTGAGATAGGACATATATTATAAAACATTTTTTGTTTCTTTTGACATGCTTAATAACGTGACAAAATTTGTTCATATGGTTGCAAGACACCCTGTATAGTATGTTGTTTGATACGGAACTCAAATTAACAGAGGCTTTTCCATAAATATTTTACTGAAAGGGTGTCTGCGTCTTTTAGCGAACTCCCCAATAGGGAATCGATATTACTATAGGTCTCATGGTAAGACCTAGACTCGGGACGGTTTTACTTTTTCGTGTTAATGTACCCAGAGGTTAAAGACGCCATCCATTCAAATTTGTATGTATCTATGTCCGTCAACACGATTACTCGAGTAAAAATCATGGACTGATGAAATCCGGTATGTGCAAACCTACATTTACTCGATCGAGCTCAAGTTATTGCCACCTTTAGGTTTTTACATTTAGCACCATTAATGTAATGTCAAGATTTAGAAAACATGAATAATTTTCATGATGACTATTAAATACAACTTTATAAAAACATTTATATTCTACAGTTATTGTATAAACCTATTCTAACATCACGTTTTCTGACTCGAACTTAGTTGTAATGGGAATTATCAGTTGAGAATCACATATAACCACTTCTCATCCTTATCTGCCCAGCTTACAGTTATTCAAGGGGGATTTGCAAGTTGAGCCATTAAGACGTGATATGCTGGTTGCCTGTTAGTTACTTACTGTTGCTGTAGGATTAACTGTCTCTGTTAAACACAATTGTTATCAACAAGATATGAGTTTTCACCTCTTTAAACTGTTGGTAATTTTTTTAATATTTTTTGTCTTTTTAAGATCTTGAAATTATCTTTACCTGGAAGGAAAAAAATTATGTCAAATAACACTTGTAAACTTAAACAAGTGTTATTTGACATAATTTTTTTACTTTCAGGTAATTTAATAACATGTATGATGCTGATCAGGAAACTATTTATAAATATTCTGTGTAACCATTAAGGTATACAACAACGCTTTAGTACCAATACTACTACTATTTGTACTATTTGTTTTTTTACTCTTTTAAATAGTTGAGATAAATTGCAAAACTTTACGATTTAGGGGTTAAAAATGGGTGAAACCAATTTTTTACCAATAAAACCCCCTTCCTTGGTGGATAAATTTAGGGTAGCACACATTTTAAAGGTGCAGTTGTTATTATTATTATTCTTGTAAAAATAACAATGCTTCAATGCTCAACTTAGTTTTTATCTCTACACAATGGCTATATAATAACAGTAAAAATTTGAAAAAAAAAATTTGAAAAGAAATTTTAAATGTCACAAGACTTAAGGAGGACTTAAGGGAATAATGTTCCTATGACTCGATCTTGTTGGCTTACAAACTTAATCACACATGTGAAATTTAATAACCAAAATTGCTCAAGATAGGCCCTATCGTGTTTACATAAAAATTTTAAACGAATAATGTACTTGGCCTGTGGGAACATCAGAATGAAAAAAATTAATTGTTACCAGACCTAGGTTTTTCCGTGCCACCAACGGTAATTGCTTCTTTCCTACAGGAAAATTGGCTAAAAACTGTAAACCTTTGGCACACTTGAGTGTCAAGTGAAGAAAATGTATCCGATTATGGTAGTATGCAAAAAGATGTATATTCATAGAGCTAAATCCAAGGTTTCTACCAGTAAGCCAATATGGTTCTACATAATTTGTTTTAAGGAGATCACTCGATTCTCTTATCGTAAGACATCTTTTATTGACCACGTAAACATCTGTTTGAAACTAAAAATTATGCTTATTACATCTAATCACAGAAATGTGAACTCTTTCATCTATGGTCCAATGCATTATCATTGTTGGGCTATGAAACAACACAGGCTGTGTATGTTGCCATCGTATTTAAAAGTAATTTTAAGGTACTGTTTATTTTGATATTTTTTTTTCTTTAATTTAAATGATATTATGTACAATTACGATGCTCTATGCGATGTAACTTAGGACAAAGATTAGTGTAGCACGCTGTATTAGAACATTTGTGTTGTTTGTATTCAATTAGATCAAATATCTCAACGAAGGATCTTGGCAATCATAAGTAGTCTGTTCTTTGGAAACATTTTAGTTTGTAAACAACATACCGCTAACAATAACTGAGTGTCGTGTTTGTTGTAGGTACAGGCAACACCAGCACAGACGGCACATATAAACCTTCGTTCCTCACAGACCAGGAGCTGAAACACCTGATACTAGAAGCAGCTGATGGCTTCTTGTTTGTAGTCACATGTGACACTGGTCGCGTCATCTACGTCTCCGACAGTGTCAGTCCTGTCCTCAACCATTCCCAGGTATGCTGGTCCATTCTTTCTGATTTCAATTTGATTTTTAAAATTTTGTACAGCTCGTGACGTCTAAGCTGGCACTTGGCCGATTACTACTAGTAGCTAGTTCAAAAAAATGTTGTCCCGTCATGCGGGTTGCATCAACTGCCTCCTCGTCAGCCATATAAAGGCGCTCAAGTACATAATACAAAGGGAGTCAACCTCGCGAGGCAGCGGAAATGTTTGCAGTCCGGACTTTTCCCTACCTCCACCCTCCTCCCGCCTACACTGCCCGCGCTAGGCCAAGTGCCCGCTTAGATTTCACGAGCTGTACCGGAACTAATTTTGTGTAATATTTAATGTAGATTGTTAACTGTGGAATTTTGTTATGTCAGACCCCAGAGGGGAGCGGATCACATATTTTACTTTTACTAAATAATAGAGTTTCTCTGTTTTCAAACCAGTTCAACTAGTTAAGCTTGTTTTTCATTGAAACGATTGCCTCTTCTACGTTTTAAAGCTATTGTCATAAATAAAATAACTGCCAATGGACTTCCACTAGAACTGTCAAAATAAAAATAAAGCAAAACTTACCAAACCTCTTTGTTTGTTTACCCTGTGACTATGTTTTGAGGTGTGCATGTAGTTCCATAGGAAGTTTTCCTTAGAATAGTCAGGTATTGAGCACGCTAAAACAAAACGTAGAGTAAATTACCGGAGCCCAAAACCCGGTTACACCTTGCTGAAGGTGTAAACTTGATATGCTTGTCTATAGTGTATAGGCATGCCCATAGACAAGTAAGGAACAGAGGATGTACTCCATGGTATACTTAAGTGGTTTTTATCACTAGACGCTGGTGTTTAGGGCACTCATTTACTACAATGCTCACCATGAAGGAAGACCTTGTGTCCTGTGTGATAAAGACTTTTGCACAGTACTTGTTGTTCAGGCTCTTCCTCGCCCATCACATGTATATTTTTGTCACAACATACCAAAGCTGAACTCGCAAGGTTGTCCCATAAGTGTGTTTCCTCTGTTCCTTCCTTCTCTGTGGCATACCGCACTGGTAACCAGAGATTCGACACTCAAACTATCCTGTATTTATAAAACCATCTCAGCACAGTGTTGTTAACCGTTTGTTTTGTTGTGCAGAGTGATTGGTTTGGGTCGAGCATCTTTGAGCATCTCCACCCCGAGGATGTAGAGAAGGTGAGAGAGCAACTGAGCACCCAGGAGCCCCAGAACTCCGGCAGGATACTGGACCTCAAGACAGGAACTGTCAAGAAAGAGGGCCACCAGTGTGAGTATACTGCTAATTTGTACTGCACCATTTATAACAGTTGCCTAACCTGTAACCATTGACTAACTTAACCTAACCTAATGGTACATCCAGAGTGCACGCCGATTCAGATACAGATTTTCGGCGCTTGCTTAATCTGAGTCATATATTTTGTGGGTGGCCACAGTAGAAGCAAGAAATACGCCGCCGGTACTGACAGAGAAACAAGTCAGTCGTTGTTATGGAATTGTGGGATGAGGAATAAACGTGTAAAATTATAGCGTCTGAAACTGATTCGAAGTTACAGCCAGTGAAACATGGTATTCAAGATATTATATATCTCTTTTCCTATAGCTAGAAATGATATAGCTTCTTTCTATATTGCGTTGAGTGGGAACCACTGAAACGTATTATTAATTGGACATCGTATTGTAAGAAACTGGTGTAACCTACATTAAAAAAGATAGTGAAGACCGTTTAGTGGTAACCCTAAAAGTAGGATTGAAAAAATAAATATTTTACCATAAAAACATAGTTAATTTAACTAAATAGTATGCGTACGAGCAAAATCTGAATCGGAATCCGAAACAAGAATGAAGAATTCATTCTGGTTAGCAGTTAGTTGCCTGCGTACGGGCTCGGAAACCGGCAGCCACTACGGCCACTTCCATTTGAATGCAAGTGCCCCGAAAATCTGAATCTGAATCGGCATGCACTCTGGTAACATTGGTAGACAATCAACATGAACTTGCTATGGCCAATTACGCAAACAGAAAATAGTTGAATTAGCCACTCATAGAGAGTGCTGCTCTAAAAATTCCACATTTTTGTATTGATGTCTAAACTGGTAGGGTATGGGTTTTTAGGGTATGCTTAGCCTCCTATAATTGAATAAGGTATACTATACTTCAGTAAGATTCACAGGTAATTAATGTGTTACCAATACTTGTAATTATTGAAGAATTTCTTTGATTTTAATTATATAATATTCAACTTGTAGGACCTTGGTTGTTACCTTACCTTACCTCCTTGGCCACTCAAACCTAAAGAAGGTTTTTGGCCTCGCCAACAAGTTGCAATATTATTAATATTAACAACCAACCTTGTTTGTTGCAATAAGATTTTTATTATATGGATTCAACAATGAATCAATACCAGCTATGACATCTTTTGTTCTAGTTATCTTTAGTTATATTTGTGTAATCAAGCTAAGTTCTTTCAACTGCCTAATTGTGGATTTTCCTTTACAGCATCTATGAGACTTTGTATGGGGTCAAGGAGAGGGTTCATTTGCCGAATGAAGGTAATTCCTGTTCACAGTTCAAGTTATCCACTTTTTACTTCAATGTACACACCTAGTATTAACTGGAATCAAATTAAGATAAAAACAATTAGCTTATCGGTAGGTGAAACTTAAAATCCTGATAAAATACTGAACTGTTTCAAATTGAATAAAAATATGCAGTATTTTCTAAAAAATACTTAGACTAGCTTGTGTAACAGTAACTCATATTAGTGAGTCAGTGGCTCAGTTGGTAGCTTCACAGACTTTGGGTCTAAGGCAGCGATGCCGTGGGTTCGGATTCAGGTACCTGCCGTTACTTTTTATCAGTACACTTCACCCTTGTACAGTACTAGCTGACCCCTTCCTTTGCTGGATATGTTCCACGTACAGGCATCAGTGGCCCATGTGGAGAGGCAAATGGAAGGGAAAAGAGGCCGCCAAAATCATTAAACAAAATCTGGATTCTCTATCATTTCTCTGTGTTTTCATAGGTTGGCAACCTTGGTCCAGACAGTATGGCGACAGGACACCTCAACAGACTGAAGCAGCGTAACAGTCTGGGGCCCTCGCGCGAGGGACTCAACTACGCGGTCGTCCACTGCACGGGCTACATCAAAAACTGGCCGCCCACAGGTCAGTTCGACAACCACGCGCTCTCCGGTAAGTTGCCACTCGGTAATGTGTCCCCGGGGCCTTACACACTACCCGCAACTTGGAGTCGAGGTGTCTTAAATATAAACAAATCAATAAAAACATCTTAATTTGGTAACCTTTTTCTGCTACATCAGATTTCCAGTACAACTATCATCTAGTCTACTACTATACATTATCATTGAACAATAAAAAAAAATTTGATGCTCTAATATTTGCTTGATGTGGCTGATTTTAGGCTCTCGGGTAGCCTTTGTACATTGAGGGTGCATAATAAGAGTTACTTTTTATCCCGACCTCAAAGGAAATGATTGGAAAGAGAAGCTTATTTATAGTGTCTTGTCACATATTTTCAAAAAAATATACACAGCGGTAACAACTTTTTAAATGTCTGCGCCAGTGGCATTTTATGAAGTTGTCTGTCACGCTTCTAAGGGAAATCGGTCTAAACACCTAATTATTGTGGATCTGCTGGGATTAAACTATCCTCTCTTGCTTAGAAGTCTGAGCACACAATTAACAAAATTTTAATGTTTAAACTCTGCGTAAGGCTTGTTTGCCACAGACATTGAGATTGTGGAGTAATTTTATTTTGTTTTTAAAATATTTTGTACCGTCACAGTGTTTTGTTTCTAATAGACCGTGTCATGGTTGTTACATTTAACCAATGATTTGGTTATGTTGATTATATAATATGTAAATTGAAAAGCGTTTGTGTAAATAATTTTCAGCTTATATTGCTTTGAAAACATGAAAAGTATAATGTTTAAAAGTATTGTAGAGTTTGGATTTTATAACAACCACTGTGCTATTTTACAAATAAAGAGTAGAATTCGACTACTCTTACTGCCACTGCCGGCCCAAATTGTGTTCATATTGGGACCATCGATTGAATATTTCTAATCAATATTCTTTAAAAGGAATCAATAAAGCCTCGAAATTCAGACGATTCTGGTTAGTTTTTTCATCTTGCAATTTATCCTTTTTTTTGGAATATGCACAGAAGGTTATGAATGTTAAATCTTCCAATACAAATATAGTTTTAAAATTATTCTATCTTACTGTATTTATTCTACAAACAAAAGATGGCTTATTACAATTAGTCTTAAAATTTATTTCCTTTGATGTTGTAAATGTTTAAATATTTTACCATTAGGTTTTATGTAGTTATGAGAAAATGCTGGGTAGCATGTGTATGGCCCCATTTACTCTAATAGAGTTTTTTAGATTTTTTGAATAGTTATAATATACAGGTCAATAAGTTAATAAAATATCTTTATTATCACTATTTTCTCTTAAATTAAATTAAATTAACCTGGAAAAGTTATAAAAAACCAATAGATTGGGGTTTTACTTTTTAAAGCAGGACTATCAGTCAAATGAGTTCTTTCCCAAGACTATTCGTTAGTGTACCACCTTGTTCGCTCATTGCCTATAATAGTAGTCAGAGGACACTATTTTCGGGTCATATGATCCATTATTAAATCCAACCTGAAACTAATAATTCTTAGATAACTTTTTGGGTCCAAAGAGACGGGTAAGGTTGACTTACCTTGTTGTGTATTTTTATTTCAGATGATCAAAAAGATAGGGAAGTCAGTTACTCAAAATAATTGATTAAGATAAATTGTTACATTTTTGACGATAGATTGTCAGCAATTGACTTCATGAAACATTGAAACACACTGACTATTTGGAGTCCGTCTGCTGACCTTATTAGCCAAGAGCTTTGTGAATCTAACTCCACCTGCTACAGATGTTCTTTCCACTTGCCTGTAGTTGATTTAACTACTTGCATATCTTAAACTTTAAAAATCATAAACAATTTAAAAATTGATAAGTACTGTACATATTTGCACTCAAAGTAAAAATATTTTTGTCATCATATCAAAATATTTGGCCATTTAACCTAAATTGGGCTTAAAGTATTAAACCTTAAAACAAATTCTGTTTTTCATTTTTATGCCTATAGTATTTTACAGGGTTAGACCTAAGTATTTTTTTTTTCATGGGTTCGTTGCTACATTTGAATCTCGACTTACTCCTCGTGGACCGCCATTGGAGGTGGAGAGACAATGAACCCACGAAAAACAAGATATTTAGGTCTAACAAAGATGTGCGGAGTTTAAACATTCTAACTTATATTGTTTTTAAGAAAAGTGTAGTCAGTTTAGTGGCAATAATAAAGATTAAATCTGTTACCCTCACCAAAGTTTGAGACACTTGCTACTCTTTAATTACTAATTTTTTGCGGAATAATTTATATTCAGTAAAAAATTGTTTTCAAAAAGATTCTTTACCAAAGGACAACTTTAATTTAATTTGCTTCTTCAACTAATTTGGGTGTGGCTTGGAAACTAAAGATGACACGTTTTATAAGCGGTTGAAGACAAGTTAGCTGTGCCAATGTTTCATATAGTTATTTGGTTGTCAGCAGGACTTTTGTATTGTATTTGTGGGTTGTTGTATTGTGTTTGTGGGTTGTTATATCGTTGTTGTGGTTGTCAGCAGGGGTACAGATGGAGAGGCAAGAGGAGGACGGAACACACTGTTGTCTTGTCGCCATTGGTCGTCTACAAGTGACATCGACACCTAACACTAGTGATCTTGCCGGCGCCAACAGTAATGCAGGTAAATTAATCGTATATTCCGTTCATTTATTTTCAGTAATAACTTGATTTTTTCCTTCTCAATATCTTACGTAGTTGATTTTTTTTAAATTCTCAGTACCGACTTGATTAATTTTGGATTCTCAATACCTACTTGTTACTTCATCAAGTGATGCTCTTTTGCTACTTGTGACATTTAATGGTCATCACAACTAATGGTTTGTTTGTGATGCAGAGTTCATATCCCGCCACTCGATGGATGGAAAGTTCACGTTCGTGGATCAGCGTGTGATTACACTTCTAGGGTACACTCCACCCGAGCTTCTGGGGAAATCCTGCTTTGAGTTCTTCCACCCGGAAGATCAGACCCACATGAAGGAGAGCTTTGAACAAGGTAAATCATAACGTTATCCTAGAGTAAAACATGGTTGTTTATTAAAAACAGTTGAATTCCTGAGCTAATTATGTGCCTTGTGATACAGAATGGCGAAGAACTTAATTTCCTATAGTGAAGTAGTTGTTGCTGTAGTCTACATGATAAGACCATTGTGTAGTTTTTTAAGATTCCAAGAACAGGGTTGCCACCAGCCATGAAAACCTTGAAAAGCGTGAATTATGCGTGAATTTAGGTGACCATGAAAAAGTGCGTGAATTATGCGTGAATTTCGTCATTGGACCATGAATTCTCAAAATCATTATTAACAATTCAGCCAAAACCCCTAAATGTGCTGAATCAAATACTCCGTATTAAAACCATTCTCGAAATGAACACCGAGATAAAACGTCAAAGTGGGAGTGTCGAGATAAAAAGTTTTGTTGCCATGCCACGAACAGAAACGATTGCGTAGTTTATTCAAGGTCAAATCCGATCGTAACCGACGTCTGCCGAGTAGTCTAGAGATGGGAATTATCGTTGTTTTCCGGCAACGGTTATAACGATAACGCACTGCCCAATAACGTGTTGCGGCAACCTGTTATTTCAATAACGATTGCCAACTCAACTCGTTGCCGCTATAAACCGTTGTCCGCCGGTCGGTGTTGCGGCGTTCAGTTATCATTGTCGGTTGATCAGTTCAGTTTTCAGTTGTAGTCGGGAGTCGGGCGTTGCCGCGTTGTCCAGACAGAATGCGTTATTCTAGTTCGTTTCAGAAGTTATCGTTGCTCTGGTAGCGTTGCGGCAACGGCACTAATGGCAATGCATGTTTTCGTTTTTGTTGTCCGCGCGGCTTTCCTGCAACATTGTGTAGATAGATACGTTATTATAATAACAGGGAGTTCTCCGCAACGTGTTGCCGCGATAACGTTGCCGTGGCCGCAACACTGTTATTCATCCTGTTATGTTATAACGCCCATCTCTACCGAGTACCGATCTACCGATAAAATCGTGCTTTCGGAGCTAAAACATCGATCACATCGATGTTTGTTCCGAGTTTCTCGTCTGTTCTCTGCACTGTAACAGCCAATTAACCTAAAACCAATACAATTCAGTTACGGAAAACATCAATATTTCATTACTTTTGTTGGCCTAAAAGACCGATGTAACAAATCAAATCATCGGTTCGGTAATCTACCATCGATGTAAACAAATAACTTCGAACATCGATAGAAAAGACATCGATGTTTCGAAAACATCGACAATCGGGATTGATGCTCGCTCTCATTCTCTACTCTCTACTCTAGTGTTCGTGTGGAAGGAAATTCAGAGTAACCATAACCTAAAAGTTTTAAACTGATCTGAGTGATCTGAAACTTAGTTTTAGAAACGAGTCAACGTTTGAAGTAGTGGTGGACACTGGACAGTAAGATCACTTGTTGCACTCGTGATTCCGTTTTGTGCTTCTTATAATTGATTACCCAACACTCAGTGGAACAAGTGTTCAAATTAAATATTTTTTATTACTGATATATTATACTTCCGATACTTTACAACGTTAAAATAAGAAGTACCTTGCCTTGCCATAAAGGTCAAAATGTCTTGCGCCGGCTGGAACTTAATCGTCTGCTGTGTTTGTTTTGGTCAAATATGTCGTCATTTCAAACTACTGTCAGTGTATAGTAAATGTGTTACAACGTGAGATTAAGTTTATTTATTTAGGCCTAAGTTGCAAGAAGTCAATGTTGTGCTGAAAAATGGTGATTTCGTTCTGAGGAAGGTAAATGTAAATGTTTTGTTGAAGCATTAACTAGGTGTTTTCAGTCAATACGAATCTAACTAATGAGATGTAAATTTAATTAAATAATTGTTTTAACTGTGATTTAAACCTGTGTAGGCAAATAATAATATATAAACTGATCCAATCTGAAGAAACATCCTCCTAACTAAGTTTATTTTAACCTTTTCTGTAATGTAATTAATTATTTTTTTATTACTTAATGTAAGTTAGCCTATGTCTAAACTTACATACATTCCATAACTTTTGTTTCGTTCTTAGCTTTAACTAAATATTTATTTACATAATCTTACCTTTTTAGAGTGTTATTATCAGTCAGTCGGTAACCTTTAATCTTCTCAATAAATAAAAGTTGGTTCAGGCCTAACTTAGCCTAGATTCAGCTTTGGATTACAATGTTGTAGGCTAGCCTACTGTGTTACTGTAGGCCTATAAAGTAATAAATTGCATGTGCGTTTTAGTAGGCCTAGATATGGCCCATTACTAAGATAACCGTTTCTTGATCATGTTCTTAACATTTGTTTTTATAGTAGCCTATTATCTTAATTTGATGTTTAGACAGTAAAGTTGTGCCATTGCTGGATTAACTAAGTTAAACCTTTTATGTTTAGATGCAATGTTTTTTAGGTTAGGCCTAGACCTAACTACCAATCCGACTTATTTTTTTATTTATTATTTCTTCTAACGTTTGAATTTATCATTAGGCCTATGATGTTGTTAAATCAGATGTTTCAATTTTTTAAATAATTACATCGTATTATCACACACAAGATTTTTATTAATATCCTTTTTCATCTGTGATTTTACTTTTTTTAGACTGGATAAATTATATTAAATTCTTATTTTTAACTCTAAAATAAACGCATGAAATGTGTTTTATTTGATAGTAGCACACAAAACTATATATTGTCGATAAATTAATGTACAATTCTGAACTAGGCAACACTCTTTTATGGTGAAATTGTGCGATCATATACCCCATGAATTTTTCAAAACTACCAATGAAAACCTTGAATTATGCATGAATTTTTTTATCTCACTTTGGTGGCAACCCTGAAGAAGTTTAGTGAGTATAATTAACTCTTTTGAAAATTCTCCATTTTGATGGAATTTAGATGAAACTTTTTGTATTTTGTTCAGCCTTAAGTATACGATGAGTTTGGACCTTGCCCAATCCAACCATGAGATAAGGGTTTTTTAGTGACTCGGTTTAATGTAAAAGTACCAACAAGAAATTATATTAAATTATTTTTGCATACCTATTGGTTACAGAGATATTTTCCTCAATGATGTAACCTTTATTTCAAATAAGCGGAAAGATCCACTTGTTTTACAATAATAATTTCTGTGTTTGTTCCAGTGTTGAAGCTGAAGGGGCAAGTGATGTCTGTGATGTATCGGTTCCGAGCCAAGAGTCGAGAATGGGTGTGGTTGAGAACCTCGGCTTTCGCCTTTCTCAACCCGTACCACGACGAGATCGAGTATATTGTCTGCACCAACACAACAGCCAAGTGAGTGTTAGAGCTATATGGACTAGAATGTTTCCTTTGCAGCTCTATAATTAATAATTACAGTATGTTTTTTTTTTAACCATACAGTGTCCTTTTAAGTTTTGGTTATCTTAATCAATTGTCAAACCGCTTAAGCCACCTTTAATATGCTACACTTTGTCATTGAGTTTAGCTGTTTGCTGGCAGATGTGGTCTAATGTTGGCACATGTGTGCCAGTCAATTGCTGTTTGCATCTTTAAATTTTTTATTAGTTTCTTTAAGTAGCCTAATTTGCTTGTTTTATCACTCAAATATTTATTTTAGGTTAGTCTTTTGCCTGAGCCACTGTGATTATCTTTATTATTTATGTACCTGCTTTTTAAATTATACACCAGTTTTTATGTATTTATTTATTTAATAAGTTAACTTAGTACCAAAATGATTTTTTACGAGGTGCTTTTTGTCTGAACTGCTCATTCTTTACTTATTTTATTGTCTGGAAACCTTTAGGCCTAAACCAATTGTCTTTCATGCTGTAGGCTTAAAGGTTTTTACATTATACATTTTTGACAAAATCCATTGTAACTTATGTTATTTAATGATGAATAAAGATTTGATTTGATTTGATTTGATTTGTGGAAGACGACATAAGAATTAGCCAAATGCAGATGGATCACTGATTTTTTTTAGAATTGTCATGTTTTTTGGAATTGTTGGAACATTTGATTTATAAAGTTGAGCTGCTTCTGAGTTCATTCAGACTGGAGAAATTTTTTAGTTTTACTTATTTAAGTTTAACACTTGCAACCTATTTGTGAACTTATTCAACCAACTTAGATAAGCCTTCAAACGTTCTACACTTCCAAGTGCTAATGAAAGTTATAAAAAAAGCAAGTTTAGTGAGGTTATTTGCATATATTGAAGCAATTAAAGGTCCAAGTATGGGAAAGTTTTACCTACATCACCCTGATGTTTATCCGGTTTTGAATGTTGTGGAGCCACAATGTTATGAGTTTACCATTTGTAGGTCACTCCACTCCACGGGAGAGACTGCAGGGGAGGCTGAACAGATCCCTTACCAGCCTGGGATAGATTACAGTCTGCAGCGCAGAGACGTCTACTCTCACATACCACAACATATACACGGTGAGTCGCTGATTCTAGATATTCTGGCTAGCTCATAAGTCTCGTTCAGTGGCTATCAACACAATTTGTTGACAAAACAGTGTTTCCAAATACAGTAAATACATGGGAGAAGAGCTTAGAATAAGGACAAGCTTTTGGTTGTAGTTGAATTTACTAGTGTTAGTTAGTAGACTTTTAAACTGACCAAACAGTCCAAGAAATCTCGCAAGACTGTACTGTAGATAAGGAAATTCAAATTACCTTGGAACTTGTTGGCAGGGCTCAAGTAGAACATAAAGTGGACATGAAAGAGTTAATGGTGATGTTTTTGGTGTCAACCACGTCATCACTTGTACACTGATGGCAGAGGTTTTGCCCTTACTGTGAAGTAGCACTGTGGTTAGGCTGAGACTGAAAAAAGGAGGACAGTTTGTTTGAAATTTGAGGGAATGGGTTGGATTCTATGTTACTTACAACCCAGATCGTTGTTTTCCTATACTTCCTTCGAGTGTGTCTGGCAAAAAGGATTTTTAAATAATTTTTGAAGGTAAACTATTGTTTAATATGTTTTACCCTTCACAGTTGTCACAACGGAGTTTTCCTCTGGGAAAAATTATTAAAAAAATATGTGTTAAATACTAAGAAAAAACCGATCGTGGCTTGGAATCAAAGACACCCATGAAGGATTAAAATTAATTAATATTTTATTAATTATTAAATAATAATTATTAATTATTATTTTATGGTCTGCAGGTAACCAGACTGGCAGACCAGGCAGTAACCAAGCGGTGTACAGCAGCTACGAGGCGACAGCTTCCCCTATCAGTTACAACTCTCCTGCGCAGGGCTCTGTGCTGAGTCGTATATCCAAGACTCCCCCCACCACCCAGCACTCCTCTGCGTGGACCACCCTTAGACAGGTCAGTGGGCAGTCTGAGGAATCGATGTTTAGCCTATTGTAGCGATTTTCAGGTACTGTGTAACTGTATTGTCGAGCCCAGTTGCAATGAAGCTGTGTCAACATTAGAGTTTTTCTGAAAGGTTATATTAAGAATAGACGTGAGTATTCAGCTAAATCATTGATCTGAAGTAATCCTAGCTTAAAAGCTCAAGTAATAGTTCACCGAGTCATAAAGTTGGTTTTATTTTTGCGATATCGTGCCTACAGAAAGCGTCTGCAGAAGTTGTAAAATTAAAAATTGTGTTAATGGAAGATGTTCATGGTTTTGATGTAAAAATTCAAGTATAAAAAGGACTATTGTCGGGACCACGTAAGTTTGCAGTTGGTAGCAGCCAATCACAAGACAAGTCTAGTGCGAAGTTGCCACATCGCCCATTGACAACACTTATTAAATATACAAAGCAATATTTTCAAATCAGCTGGTATTATTAGATTTGGCAACACCGCACGGTTCTTATTGGTTCATTCAAAACCATATGGTAAATAGGCTCTTCCCTCAACTGCAAACTTATGTGGCCCCGACAATAGACACTGATGCCATAACACAAACACACACACTTTTTTGTAGTTGGAATGAAAATAGGTGGTTTAATTTCTTTCGATCCAAGCTAACATAGATTGTGTTACGTTTACAGCAGCAACCAGTGACGGAAGGCTACCAGTACAATCAGCTGAGTCCGTCGCAGAGTCCCACTGGTCCTACGTACACTCAGCTGAGTGGAGGAGCTCGCGGAGCAGCCCCAGCGCCGTACCACGCTGCTCCCACTCCTGGTAAGTGGGGGACTTTGGTTTAGTTCTACTTATTTATTTGTTTCAATCCAAGTAGGGGAAGTATCAGCATAGTGTGGAGCATTCGATGAGTAAATGCCTTTAGCCAAATGCAATGTAAATTAGGTTAAATGAAGATAATGAAAAATAAAGAATGACAATTATTTGAACAAAGATTTGATTATTCGACCTAAACTAGCCCCTTAAAGTTTAAATATAAAAATGGTCATTTTAAACATCTTAATAGTTTTGTTCAAGGAAAGGCTCTATGTCAGGATTTTGGATAGCAGGTAGTTTACCTTGAAAAGGTTCAGATTGGCCATAGAACACATTGGCCGCAGAGACACTGAACACACAATATTTCATGTCCTGGGGGACTTTGTCAAGTGTAGCTCTCTACACTTTTCACCCTCTAGTGAAGAGAGCTTACAAATGGCTGTTGCCAACTATACAGTGTTGCCATATATCACTATTTTAGACAAGTAATGTATGGAGTTATTTTTAATGTAACTTTGTTTTGCAGGCATGTGGTCGTGGCAGGGCCCCAACCAGGCGGGTGAGGCAGGCCCCGGGTCCAGTGGTGGGGGAGGAGGTGGACCCACGGGTGCCGGACCCCCGGGTGAGCTCAGTGACATGATGATGCAGATGTTAGACCAAGGAGCTGCGACCTCCTTCGAGGATCTCAATATGTTCAACACTTCGTTTGAGTGAATATCGCCACATTAGCACCTGTACAGTTTTGACTTTCCCTCACTTTGAATGTTGCAGTGTTGTTGATCGCACGCCGTACATCTTGAAGGTTTTAAGGGAGGATTTTCTTTTGAGGTTCGACCTGTTGTGTTTCAGTTGAAAACAGCAGCTCTTGGACATTTATTTATATTTTTTTAAAGGGGAAAATATGTCAGGAACTGTTTTTGACATTGTTAGTGGTTTTAATTAGGGCTGTTAAAAAGTAATTTTGAATCCTTTGATTTTAAGGATTGTGCATAACACACTTGAATTAACGTCAATTTTATTTTGCGAACCACAAAAGAAAGTTATTTCTCTCTATTTATCGAACCTCGTAGTTAACGTAAGTTAAGAACGTTTTCTCATATCAATGCCGCGACGGTGTGTGTTTGCGCAAGTTGTGATCGTTTGGTTGTTTGCAATACCAGTGAAATGACTCCGCAAGTTTTTGATACTTTATTAGTTGCTGTTTTAGTGTAATTCCTAGTATATAGAGGATGTAAACAACCGACAAAGTCTTAATTTTAGTTTTCTATTAAGATCATATTTTGTAAATCTGTTGTCGTTGTCAGTGTATACAGCTATAATTTTGTATATTATCGTTCGGCAATTTCGTAGGTTAGGAATAGAGTTATTTTTAAATATCAGTGCCAGCATTGTTTGTAATTCTGCCTGTATCGCACAATTATTATTGTTTCGCTATTCATCGAGTCCATTTCAAGCTGTTGTTATTTTGTGGATTAAAATTTAGGTCTTGTTAGTGAGATATCAAATTTTTGTAAACAATCACAATGGAGCAAGGTTTTGTTATAACAAACTTTGTTTTTTAATCCTCATATCCAAGTCCGAGTCAGGTATTTTTTTTTCAGTTTACTGCTGAAACATATTTTATTACTCATTGTAATTAATAATATATCTTCCATCAACTCTATACCTCCGGTTTCCTGCAGTAAAACACCATGTGTAATCCTAGTCCATATAAATTTTTAAATAATTTTTAACTTTAACCATAAAATAGTCATAACTATTTTTCAAGATAATCAATCTTCACCTGCATTTAAAGTCTTTAAAGAGTGTTTTGTTGAAATATTTTAAGGTCATAGTTATTTACTTGGTATTTTAGTAAAATTATATTTTCAATGTTGTTTTAAAATGGAAATTGTTATGCCTCAATTCTATTACAGTTGTTAAAGTTTATTAAGCTTTGTAAAGTGATTCAAGTTTTAAGTTTCAGCGCGATCTATTGCTGGTTCATATAGATGGGATATATCAGCTTCCGAAGTCACATTAAACTCAAGGATTAAAATGTGACTAATTTTTTTGCAGGGTCTTATCATCAAACTCATTCTGCCCGAACAACTAATAACTATTGTATTTTGCAAATACTTTTTCTCTTCAGTAACCTTATCCTTTTGCCAAAAGTTGTTCTTTGAATGATTAATATCATCTAATTTTACTTTTCACTAATACAAAATTATTACTTTGCAATATCAAAATTTTCACATCTAGAATAATAATACAGCAAGTAGCTTGTTCATATTTTACTATTTTCAGCATATTATCATAATACATCTTGTTAAGTTGTGTTGTGATTGGATGATTCTGTTTTCAATTTTGTCCAATATCAACTAACTCATTAGCTGCTCGCTGTATTTGTTAAATAGTCTACTTACTGTATTATCATTCTTGATAGATTTTAGTGTTAGTTTCATTTTATAATGGAAGATAATTGACTAAAAATACTCATCTATGTATTTTTTAATTATGATAATTGTTGGAATTATTTGCTAAGCAATGTTGTGCGATTAGGTGTTTTAAAATTGTCTTATTTATGTAAAATGTATTGTAACTGATGGTTTTATTTTTCATACAATTTAATTGTGAATATGTATGATTGCGTTTTATTTCTCCTTAGATTTTATGTAAGTTAGCTTCAACTGTTAGGGTTTCAGTTTTACTTTAGAGCATTTTCAGTAAGTTGTCAATTTTTTTATAAAATTTCAGTCTTGATGTAGACAGTAGCATTCACATGTCGTAGCACATTTAATCATGTGTGTTGTAATACTGATTATTATTTTATCATAAATGTTCTATTTCTCACACAAATAACCCATTAGGTATAGATAGAGTACATACCATAGAGTATAGACTAAGCGTTTTTCGTGTCTAGTTCATGTTCCACACTGATCGCTGGGGTAGACGAAATTTTGTTTCTATTATTTTAGGGTTATTTTCATGATTTGTGCTTTACTATTTGGTTATATAACTAGGAGACCAGTTATTATAATTGTTCATAATTATAGTGTTTTATTTAATTAAATGGGGTTTTAAATGACTGAAATAAGAAGAAAAATTTTTTAAACAAAACAGGACTTTTACATTTGGAGGTACAGAACCAACAATAAAATTGGCTCCAGCTGTTCCATAAGGATGACAAATCTACTGAGTATGTTTTATCTATGGTAATAAATTTCCAACCAAGTGGTTTTTCTGCACTCGGTACGGAATTAACCATTTTTGGCAACAGCTGATTTCAAAGAAAATAATTGTTTCCCAAGCTGCAGTCTTAAATTTTTAAAACAACAGTTCTACTGTTTAGGAATAGAACACAGATATAGGCAATTGTGTCTTGATGAAAAGAATCGTTTATAACTTTAACTGAAAATTATCTCCAGCACTAGTACAATACTGCAGTTATTCTAATCCTCATCTACGACCCATATATTAAACACACTCACATGCTTGGCTTTGCCTTGCACGTGTCATTTGGTGTTCCTGTGTTTATATTTGCCTCACATATAAATCTTGTTAAGCACAAAACCGTGCTAGTTTGTTTATACTTGCTACTTTTATAAATACCCACATAATGTGCCAGTAATTATAAATGAATAATTACCCAGACCTCGATTAAACATCCTTATAAATAGACCCACTGGGTATTTACCCTGCCCACATCACTATCCTTCACTCATTTTGAGTTACAATACTATAGTTCGGCCGCTTAGAAAACGACCTGCGCGCTAATGCTAAACCAATGCTGGAGGAGGTCGTTTTCTAAGCGGCCGACCTATACTCGTTGCGTCCCCATCTCAATCAGCATCTCATGGACAATCAGGTAGAAAAATAAACAGTAATTCATCCGTAAAAAAACTTTATTTGACATGATGAGTGAAATAAATTAATGGATTCATGATGGAAACATCTTTATAAAAGATGCTCAGTCTTTGGCCGACTTGTCTTTCTTGTGTTTGGTAATCTGCTCGTACTTGGTCTTGCTGGACCACCACAGCAGGAAGGGGATGAGGAGGGAGGGCAGAGTCATGACGGCAAACGCACCCCAGTCCAGCTGAAACAACAAACAAGCTTGTTTACAACTAATTATAAAACATCTTGGTTATAATTTGTTTCTCTCGTCACTAGAACTACCACATAAGATAAATAACAAAATGTCAAGGGCGATTCCAATAAGTTTTGGACATGCAGTTCAACATTTATTGTCTTTAACTATGATTATTTAAACAGGATAATACTGGTAAAAAAAGCATCGAAACAGTGCACAGTGCTGCAATAAAACCTAATACTGCACACCAGTTAAGATTATCGTCCCATCTACTATTCCCCTAATGTCAGAGACGCTGATTCGCGATTAGCTGGTCACCTCAGCCCGCCTTGTACAGTCATGTCCATCAGTTGTTTGTTCATAATTGACACATCGTAAAAGTGTTATTGTAATTTTTCAGCTTCAAATATTTCTATAAGCTTAGACATTGCTTACAGTTGTAAAATCAAGCGCAGTCTGAATTGTCCAATAAACACTTAGCACACTCACATGACATTGATATTAGTTTTTAGTTTCTGACTGATGTAGGCCTTAAATCTGTGTAACTTACTTTGTTGTTTAAATTATTTAAAGTAGCCTAAGTTATTGAATGTTGTAGGCCCTAATTGATATGCTAACCACTGGACATTTTATCCTTGCAGATTACTGGAGACTTCTTAGCCTAAGTTACTCTCATATTGACCTCAACTATACAAAATGTTCTTTTTGTAATTTGTTGCAATAAATTCTTGATTCTTGATTCACAATATTGCACAACTTTTAGAATTAATAACATTTCTCGTATAAGCGAAACTGTGTAACATGAACTCCTGATGTAGGTGTTTCTGGCAGTTAAACCAGATTCATTCTTTACTGCCTGTGGAATAATGTTCTCACATCAGTTTCCATTCCAGCTTGAGAATATACCAATGTTCCAGGACAAAATTTGTTTTTTAGGCTAGAATATTGAAAATCAAGTTTGAAACAATAGGATAGGTAAATTTAGTTCTAATTAACTAAAACAACATTTAAAAAATTAAATGGACAATAAATTTACCATAATAAAACTTACCAAATGAGGAGAGAACTTCTTGTCGTAGTCCTTAAAAGCGATGATAACACCCTCACCAGGTTCACTAGTCACAGCAACTTGGACCTAACGGTAAAACAGACTTTTAGGTTGCGTCAGTTTGAAGCAATAATGTTCTTATAAAAACTTCCTTAAGACAATGGCCATTGACCTGAACACCATTCATTGTATGTAAGAGTTTGGTGCTAAGCCTAAGTATTTTAAATCAAAATTTATGTTACGACATAATAACATTTCAAACTTACTATTACACGTAGCTAAGCATTTGGAAAAGCTGTGTAACTTTAAGATAACAACTTTACGATGGAAGCGTTTTTATACTGAGAGCCAGTGTTCTTAGCTAACTTTATTGTTCCAATATAATGGTAAGTACAAAAAATAAATTATACAATGTTGAGAGCAATATTGCAATCCATGGGAGTTTCAAACGACTTGGACTTGAGTCAGAAAAAATAAACTTGCATCTGCTGAACAAGACAACTCAGGTAATTTTGGTACGATTTTGATCAAATTTGGCAAGCATGTGTAGGGTAGCATAAACTTCAATTAGTTTGCAAACAACCAGGATCGGGTCATGAGAACATAGAGTTTTACAATTTCCAAAAATTGGCATTTTCAAATTTTTACCCATAAATCATGGATATGCCCAATTGTAATTAAAACCATCGTGTAGAGCTAATGAAACAAACAATTTTGTATATTGAAGTACCGGTAGCCTATTGTTGTGCAATTTAAAGTTAGGTACAGAGAAAAATAAAATCTAGTTTATTTGTTTATGGATTTTGATCAAATTAGTCAAATTTATTTAAAATTTTATCCTATACCATAGGCCTACTATTGTCATAAAACAGTTATTACCCTCCCTGAAGCAAAAAACCTAAGTACTCATGAAATCAAATGCTATTTAAGTGGGGAATATTAAATCTGACATAAGGGAATATTCTGGCAAAAATCTAATCAGGTTAATGGAAATTCCCTTAGTCTGCAGGTTTGCTGCTGCAGGGATAATTTTGTTGAAACACTGCTCCAGACACTCAAAAAAAGACCCTCACCATATTGTTGTCTTCTGAAGTTCTGTAGTTTACTTCGGCTGCGGTGAAGTTGTAGTAGCCGTATGTAGTGGGCCTGATGACTACTACGTGGGATACGTTGGTACCAGGTGCAATCCTGTCGAGCTTGGCGTTAAGTTGGCCTCCGACAACGGCAAACGCTTCTGGGTGGAAGCTAGAGTCGCTCAGAACTACATTGAGAGCAGCACTAGTCCCAATGTTGTATAAGGTGTACTGTAAGAGTGGAGTATTGAGGTTAGACTACTTATAGATCAAACTGTTGAATTGTAGCTTGCCTAAAAAATTGATTGCTGCAATAGATTTGTTACAGGGGCCAGTTGGTGTTTTTACCAGTTCAACAAGAAGATGATCTATATGAAGTCCAAGATTTCGCTATGGTACAAAGAAAGTATACTATACTTTCATCTTACTAGCTGTTTTAATTAAACAAGTTGGTTCTGTTCTATGATGTTCAATAGCATTAAAGGTACAAGGATTACCAACAGGGTGCAGCACTATTATTTCTTTTACATTTATGATAACAATATTTGCAACCAAAAGGTGAGTGAGCATAGCGAACGAACTTCAACCTGGAGGCGAGTTAGCGTAGCGAACGAGCTAACCTGAAGGCAAGTGAGCGTAGCGAACGAGCTCCAACCTAAAAGTGAGTGAGCGTAGCGAACAAACTTCAACCAGGACGTGATTGAGCCATACGAACGAGCTCACTTATGAAGTTAAACGGGGCAAAGCCCGCGGGTACAGCTGGTCTAAATATATAAAAGGCAAAGCCCTCACTGACTGACTGACTGACTCACTCACTCACTCCCTCATCACTAATTCTCTCCCACTTCCCATTTACCTAGGAGGCTGAAATTCGGTACACCAATTCTTTGGGCATTAAATAGGAAAAATAAGTAGTTTTTATTCTGATCAGGCTTTCGGGCTCCGCCCCAGTGGCTCTGGAGTTTCCCATGTTAACCTTATGATTTTTCATATTTAAAAGGAATTAATGAATCTTAACAGCTGTTTTAATTAAACAAGTTGGTTCTGTTCTATGATCATTAAAGTTACAAGGATTACTAACAGGTTGCAGCACTATTAGTTTTTTTAATTCATGACAATAGCTAATTTGCAACCAAAAGGTGAGTGAGCGTAGCGAACGTACTTCAACCAGAACGTGATTGAGCCATGCGAATACTTATGAAGTTAAACGGGGCAAAGCCCGTGGGTACAGCTAGTCTATACTTATAAAAGGCATAGCCCTCACTGACACACTCACTCACTCACTCACTCATCACTAATTCTCTTACTTCCCATTTACCTAGGAGGCTGAAATTTGGTACACTGATTCTTTAGGCATTAAATAGGAAAACTAAGCAGTTTTGATTCTGATCGGACTCTCGGGCTCCGCCCCAGTGGCTCTGGAGTTTTCCATGTTAACCTTATGAGTAGTCATATTTAAATGGAATTAATGAATTTAAAATAAAATTCAATTATGATAAAATAATATTTTAGAGCTATCAAACTAAAAAATATTTGTCATAAATCTTTTCCTTCATATCTAAGGGTTATTGTAGGTTAACATTCTTAAAAGAATCCACGAAACCACATAGGCCCCTACCTTAACAATTATGTCCATGTCTTCTACTAAGTATTTATTCAAAATCTGTTTCGAGATAAGTAGTCGAGCGCCTGTTGCGGCTTCTACTGGTGCATCTGTACATGACGCTCTCCAGGCCAATCCCAGGATAACAAACAAAGCTGCTAAGAATTTCATCTGAAAACAATCATAAACATTTAAATACAAGGATAAACATATAAATTACAAGTAGGTACCTATCATTTTATGTTTAACCAAATCAAGCACTTTTGAAGTGTGTTGTATTGTATTAAGTTAATTGCTACCAAGAAATCAAATCAGGGTGGATATAACTTAAGAAACAATGTGACAACATGGATCGGTCCTCTTACCGCTATAATGCCGCTTAGAAGTTTACTAGTTAGGGTCTACTGTGTGTAGGCCTATGTCTAAAATACCTTCTCAAACAAAGCACTACTATGGTTAGACATGGCTCAATTATCCTAAGTAAGCCCATTGTAACCAAACTCAACAAACTAGACATACAGCGTGACTACAAGACCATTGTTTTACGAGTGCCATTGGCTGTTGTTAGGCTACAGTAACTTAGATTGGTTAGGTTGAGATCTTGTTTTGGACACAGATTTAACATAAGCTTAAGAACTAGGGATGAGCATCGATAACTTAGTCGATGTTTTCGAAACATCGATGTTTGATGTTTTTACATTGATGGTAGGTTACCGATGTTTACGTAAAACATCAATGATTTAAGCCAAGCCAAGTATTGAGATATCGATGTTTTCCTTTAGGCTACCGTACTGGAGAGTACAAAAAGCAGAAGAAAATTTTTTTTTAAAACATCGAAAAACCTCAATGTTTTAGTCCCAAAAACATTGATGTTTTCGCAATGTTAACGATGGTTGACCTATCAATGCTCATCCCTACTAAGAACTAAGTTTGAGTTTCAAGTTTTTGAAACATTTCTTGATATGTAACTTAGGGAAGGTACAAATATTTTTTTAAATACAAATTTCAATGAACTAAAGAAGGATTTGGGACTGTTATACTTGATGGGAGCGTTCAAAACTTAAGTTATAGGCTAATTAACTTCTGGGCTGCACTTTACTTTACGTCCTACACTCATTCGAATGAAAACATCGATTATTTGATTGTTTCATTCGATATATTATATAATATATTGGTTAAGTTACTCTTCTTGTGTAGGGCTGGACCTAGGGTATGCTTATTTGAAAAGTGATTTAGAAGAGTCAATTCAAAGGCATGACCTTCTCGGTTTCTTTAGGGCATCGGCTTGAATACAAACAGCCTCCACACAGAAAAACTAAATTAATGTTCTACTTATTCTTGATTAGGCTAGCCTTATAGTATCTACTCACCATAATCTAAAACTTGAAGTAACTTATACAAAAGTAAATTATATTAAATAACTGAATTAAACACTTGTCCCTAACACTACAACCCTGTTAAAATATACACTACGGAATCAAAGTGACCACTTTTTACTTTATAAATTCTGCTTATTGCTTTTAAAATTATTGTTCCAACAACTAACTGACAAGAGAGGAAGAGAAGGTCCAACCAAACAAATTCGGTTTTCTGCCAACTTCCAACATGTGTTTTGCTAGCAGTCGTGGAACAGAAAGTCCGCTGCTGTCGCCACGTCTGTATCTTCGTGCCAGAGACTAAAGGAAATGTAAAGCAATTTTTCTGTAGTCATTGATTTAGTTTTGCGTCATAACATAAATACATTTCAAACATGTATACTAACTCTGCTTTTTCGATGCTATAGACTAGAAAATTATATTTTAGGAATAAAAATGTATCAAAATAAGATTTTACTTCAATGACTAGGATTAATATTATGCTTTGCCAGTTACCGTATACAAATATGGTTTTAAGTAAGGCGTTTTAACATGGATTAAAAAATAGAGGACTTGGGCTGTATGGTAAATTGGTTGTGTGTCAAGGTGCCACCCTGAGCAAACTGCATTTGAAAAATAATTGGAAGAAGAATTTTGGAGGTGTCTGGTTGTCAATGACAAGCCGGATTGATCTGGTGAAACCTTGGTGGAAGCCGAAAAGCGTGCACATAAACCCGCAACCTTTTTTTATTTATTCATTCATTCCACGGCACTGCCATTTACAATAGGGCATACAGTGAATATATAATCAATGCTAATTATACTAGATACATAAAAGGGATGAATAAATAAATAATAACCATGGTGGAAGGAAAAACACAGGTGTGCTATTCCCGTCATATTCTGACGTCACTCGGATTGCAAACAAAAGATCACCTGATTGTAACTGCCAAATTGGTACAGTAGAGTCCCGCAAACTCGGCACTCGATAACCCGGTAGTCTGGATAACTCGGCCATCACCTGGCTCAGAAAATAAGTGATTTTTTGAGTCCGAGTTAAAAATGGACTCAAGCCAGCGCTAGACAAATCATTCGCAACTCATACCAAGGATTTGTTGTACTAAATTTGATGACTTAATACTGACTTGTAATAAAATTATTAATAAAAAAGGCGGTTAAAAAGCTTAAAAATTGTATTGTTCTTATTTTTAACCCTAGTTCCTTACCTTATAACCCGGCATTTCACAAACTCGGCACCCTTCCAGTCCACATTACGCCGAGTTTGCGGGACTCTACTGTATATGTATTTGTTTTGATTTGGTTGTGTTTATAATGTGTTTATAAAAAAACAATAACAATCAAATCAAAACAAATACATACTAATTTGACAGTTACAATCAAGGAGATCTTTTGTTTGCAATCCGAGTGACGCCAGAATATGACGGGAATAGCACACCTATGTTTTTTACTTTCACCATGACAAATAACAGTATTCCTGCTCAGCTGGTGCTAGCTCGCTCCGCCGCTGAAACTGCTTACTTCAACATAATATCTTACTCCAATACTCCCCTTGAGAAAATGGTTCATCAGAAGTCTATTTTCCCCAATAATTTTATTTTCAACAAAATAATGTTTATTTATAACCTGGGCATTGGGCAACCACGGGGGGATAGGGGGATATGCTATGCTCTCCAAACAAAGATACAAATTCAAAATTGACTATGCTTTGTAATGTATTAAACAGACTGAAGCTATAAATACTGTACGGATGTTTTAAGCAAAACACTAGATAATAATTCCAACTTTATACAACCAAAGACCACGTAGAAAGTTTTTTTTCGGACTGGTTTTCTGAGTAGGGCCTTCCGAACCCTAGAACAAAAAATGCAATTCTTCTGGGCAACTATTTGACGACATTGTGTTCTGCAATAAAATACAGTAGACAACAATTTACAGTTTTTTAAACAATATACGTTGCTTTGAAGTGAGACAATGGAAGTAAATTGGATGTTGAAAAATGCCAGATTGGGACACTTACGTGTTGTTCTTTTGGTTAACCAAAGACTCTTTATCTGGCTTAGAAACTACGGCAATAAACTTGAGGGTAAACTATTTTAAAGGACCTCAAATTATTATGGCTTTTAAGCATTATTAGTTATTATTAGCGAATTTTTCCTATAGGGATGTAGCTATTACTGTAGGTGGCACGGTAAGACCTAGGCCCGGGGCCGATTTACTTTTTCATTTTGATGTCCCCAGAGGCCAAAAACACCATTCGTTCAAATCTTTATATATATATATATACTGTATATACGTCCGTGAACTCGATAACTTGAGTAATCTTTATCCGATTTTGATAAAATTTGGTTTACAGGTGTAAATCAGGATAAACTTGAATGATAGTTTGCAAACCAGCATGATCGGACCATAGGAACGGGATTTTATGGGGTAAAAAATGGGTTTTCTCTTTTTTGACCCTCAAAACACAAAAATTCCCAATTTCTCTCTTGTTTATATCTTGTTTTAGATATACACATACTGTAATACCATAGATAAAACATTCTACCCCTGAGGAGTGTGTTTTATCAATAACTAGCTGGCCCGACAGACGTCATCCTATCGTTATGGGGTTTTATGTCAATGCTCGTTCATTTTCAAGATGAGCTCGTTTGCATGGCTCAATCACGTCCTGGTTGAAGTTCGTTTGCTACGCTTCCTCACCTTTAGGTTGGAGCTCGTTCATATCTCTACACATTGTGTAGAGATATAGTCAATGATTCCATTTAAAATATGAGTACTCATAAGGTTAACATGGGAAACTCCAGAGCCACTGGGGCTGGGGCAGAGCCCTTTTGACGGATCTGCACCAAACTTCACATAACCCATCCTTGAATAATGCTTAATAATGCATGAAAGTTTCATTACAATCTGTCTAGCGGATTCTGAGTCAATAAAGGACAAACAAACAAACTTACATTGGATTTTTTTTTATGTATTTCATAAGTTTACACTGATATTTTTATAGGATTAAATAAGATACTTTTAAAGCAGAAATATATATATATTTTTTTTACTTTATTTTATTTACAATCTGTTCAAGTTGAACAATAAGCAAATTATATAAATAGTAATACAAAAATAACTTGAAGAACATGAGCTAGTGATTGACCACCGTCAACACTAGCAAACAAAGATAATTTTGATAACACTTAGCTGAATCTGAATGGTAGGTCCAATATCGTATGTCGCTTCAGTCTGTAAATGGTGTTGTGATTGTCCAATAAATTAAGTGCAAGATGATTTGAATGATTTTCCAATTTTATAATGTATTTTTCACTATATTTTGTAATTTCTTCTTTTACTGTTCGAATTTGAAGATCATTGTGAAGTGTTCTGTTAATTGGTAACAAACCAAGGAGCGTTGACAATTTTACGTAATAATTTTGATTGGTAACGTTGAATAATTTCAATGTTTGAGGTACTTGCTGATCCCCAAAGCTGAATACCATAAGTCCAAATTGGTTTTAAAACTGTTTTGTACAGTAACAATTTATTTTGTGTACTGAGTTTTGATTTAGATCCAAGAAGCCAATTAAGTTTAGTTGTTTTTAAATTTAGATGTTGCCTTTTAGTCCAGATATGTGCCTTCCAATTAAGCTTTGCATCTAAGTGCATGCCCAAGTATTTTATTTCCGTAACTTGAGGGAGGTGAATATTGTTCATGGATACTGGAGGACATGTAGCCTGATTTAAGGTAAAAGTAATGTGTGCTGATTTATTTTCATTAATTTTGAACTTCCATGTTTTAAACCAATGAGAAATTTCATCCAAGTTTAGCTGTAAATTTGCTGTAGCTTGAGCTGGATTGTCGTGGACAGATAAAATCGCCGTGTCATCCGCAAATATAGCAACCATAGTGTTTACACTTTCTGGTAGGTGTAATATGTTTCCTTCCACCATGTGTAATATGAGCAGTGTAATATGTAATATAAAGCAGAAATATGAATTGCATATAAGGATATAAACAATCAATAAATATCAAGCTAAAAATGTTATGCCATATGATATAGTGATTATTATCTTGTCTTTCATGTTTTACCAAAAGCCAAATGGGAGAAGTCGAAGGTTTTCGTGTTTGACATTTTGCAGTTGCGTTTCTTCTGTTCTAGCGTCAAGTTGAGTTGAGCAGCTGGTTGCAGTCGCGAAAGTGATTGTCGTCGTAAAATTGTATTGTGTTTGGTAATCATTAAGTGATTTACGGGATTATGTGATCAATTAAAAGTGCGCGGGATAGAGACGCTTGTTTTCTTTCCATATAAAACGCCTATTCCTGTGTGTGTAGCTTTCCTCGAGTGTTTTCATTTGTAATATCTGGATTCTTTCTGTCTCCGACAACATGGATCGATGAAAAACAAGTCTTTTGAGTCATGCTTCATGGACCGGGTTTTAGTGTCGTTATATGTCTAAATCATCAGAAGACTACATTTCCCTAACTCTAGTGAATCAAGGTAAGTAATTGTCACTATTATATAATAAGCCTAATTCATAATTTCATCACAATGTACAAAAATGTTGACATACTTTGAAGTGTCTCTTTTTATAGGCCTAGAAGACAGGGGTTGCTTTACAATTAATTCGTGTGTTACCATATTTGTTCTTAATAGAGCCTTTTAGGCGGGAAGCTTAGGCATTAGTATTGACTAAAGTTAAAATTCTGAGTTTTTCAATCAGATATAGGCTAAACTAACTTAACTGTCCAAAACTTCAAGACAAACATTTGGACAACTAACCCATCAAATCCACATAACTTAGGCCTAGCCTAATCTTTTCTAAATTCACTAAGTTATTATCAGTAGCATTGAAGCTCAGTGTTCATTAATGCAAAGGAACGTGAAATTGAGCAATTTAATCATTAGACTTAACTTAGCCTAGGCTATACAGTGTAGGTACAGTGAGTAAGTTACTCTTGGCAGGCCTAATTCAAACTTTCGAAAAAGTCAATACTTTGATACCGTACTGTAACTCATAATATACACTAATTTCATAGAAAATCTAACTTATTGATATTTAAAGTTTTTCAACACATCTTTATAAGTTAAATAAGCCTAAGTTTACACACTGCATTTAAAAGTCTAAGCAGAGGGCAGGCCGATTTGGAACACATCAGTAACTTAGCTAATTGAAAGGTTGTTTGCAGAAAACTATATAATTCAAAGGCCCGGAGCTGAATTTATAGATTAAACTTAATAGCCTACATGTCATACAGGAGACTATAAAACATCCCGTTAGGTACGGTAGCTTTGCTGTTTAGTTGGGTTATTATTTAATTGAATAATCTGGTTAACAGTAGCCTTTTTGCTCATAAGAAAAGCTGCAAAGCCCATGTGTTTTAAGGCATCCAGTCATTCCCTTTTTATCGGTAAAAAAAAGGCTTGGATGATTAAAACTTACTAACTTGTTCAAAGAGTGGCTAGTAGGCTATCATTAAATATGTAGGCATATATAAACTGCCAAAATCGTAAGTTATCTTGTTCCTAGACATTTGTTCGGTCCACAACGCTCCTCATTTGTCAAACATGGAACATAAATTTTTCCGTCAAACACGACGTCAGATTTGCAGCCGCTTGAACTCATAGTCAGCAAATAATAACTAAACAAACATAATGAAGCTACAGGTTCTTCCATGAGCTTATTAAGAGTTCCTTGCGACATTGACAATGTTAAATAAGTTAGCCCAAATTTCCAAATTAGGTCCTGAAATAATACAATAACTTAGACTCGAGAATCAATGTTTTAATTTCAGTAGACACATAACTTACGTACCGGTATGCATATTATCATGTCAAAATGTGGATTACACACTGCAGAGATAAATTACAGTACGGTCCCGTGGGACAGTGGCGTTGTCCTAGGTATCTAGTTACTAGGAGTTCACAAATTGTGGATATTTAGGCTATAGGCATGCACTGTGGATGCGATAGTCTCTGGTGTGGATTAACGCCCACACTCGTGAGTAGGCCTACTACAACTATCCTTAGTAGTATCCTGATAATTAGACCAATTCGTTAAAATACCAAGGCAAAAATGTGGTTCAGATTCCACTATAAACAGTAGGTAGGCCTACCTTAGTTGCCATTAGATGTATGGACTATTAATTAACAGCAGCTGTGTCTAAGGAATATGTTGGCCTTAGTCACTAACAAGACTACAAGATCGCGCCACTCATCCTACACTCATCTACATTCATACTTGGCTTAAAATACCTAAGCCTACTTTGTATGGTCGCCATTTCAATGGAAAGTATTAAAAAGTTTCTATAAAAAATCATGCAAAAAACAAATGCAAAAGTTTTGCTTGGCACGCCGAGAAGTAAGCATTCTATAAAGAAAAAAACGCATCTAGGCATATATTAAGAAAACAACATTTTTAAAAACTAGGCTAATTCCTTTATAACGTCAAGGCAATCACTAGATTGAAATTTCCTTGGTTGAACATTCAAATAATTCTCCCATCCAATAGGCCTGGAACCCCCGCCGTAGCAAACCTGTAGCCTATTTAAAGGAATTTCCATTCATGGTTGGATTTTCGCTAAAATATCCCCTTCAAATTGTTAGGTTTATTTTCTATTCAAATAACATTAGGTAGAGATTTAAAGAGTCAGTAACGTTTGCTGTTGCTACAGGGAAAGTAATAAAGTGTAAGTATATTTAATAGCTTCGTATGAAATTATCACATTTATTCACAAACTAACAATTTACAGCAGTTTATATTCTCCATGAGAATAGCATGGAAATGTTAAATTTGTTTCAGTTTTTTCTTTTTTTCCCTTTTTTCCCCCTTTTTTTTAAATGTAAGTTACCGGTTGCGTTAAACCTGTAAGTTACCCATTTTTTGTAATCCCTAAAAAATAGTTTAGAAAGAAATTGCAAAATTTGATATTTTAGGGGTTCAATAATGGGAACTTATACCTACTGTTTCCATAGTTTGAACATGCTCGCTCTCTAATAAATAAATTGTTGGAAACTTAGTCTAGCTCTACACGTTTCTAGGGAGGACTACCATTTTCATCAAAATCAGAAGATTTTTACTCCATATATCCTGTTACTGGTACATATATTACGGTAATGATACAGGCCTATATGAACGGTTTCAAGGACTGAAGGGACATCAAAACAAATCATAGGCTAAGCAAATCGGTCCTGGGTCCAGGTCTTTCTGAGACCTATGGTAATAGCTACTGGTACTTCCCTAGGGAAATTATCTAAAAAAACAAAAGTTGATACGTTATGTAATTTATTAAAGAGACAAATCTATACAGAGTCTTCAATTTGTATCCGTGTCCTCCTTATTTGTCATGATCAAAAACTGCACTAAGAAAAGCTAAACGCATCAGCACACTGTAAAAGAGTGGAAGGCGACAACCCTTTTCTTGAAAAGACGCTTAACATGTAGTTAGTTATTTACCTTACATTCTATATTTATGTCGATCAAATTTGTATTAAAATATTTTAATTGATTTTTATACTGATAGAAAATTTAATCCCATACTATAAGCAGGTTCTTTGTAGAACTAGAGCCTACTTCAGATGAAGACGAGTGAAAGACAAAAGCAGAATGAGATGATAGTTTTGTTACCGACTAAAATCAGCTGATTCATTAGCCAGGCCTTTTACCTAAAGTCCAGTGATCAAAGACAGTTGGGTCCGGCTTTTAACGATCAAAAAGCTACAGACTTTTCTCAGGATCAAACTGGTTGAGTGCAGGGCCGAATTCCGTTTACCTAAACACTTTGACCACGGGGTCATTTTACAGCCTGAGGCTTGGCTGAGCGAGTGCCGGCAAGGTATCAGTGACCGGTTCCACAATGTGGCGGACCTGTATTGGATATGGTACCCGTATGGGATGCGGTAGTGGTTAGAATGCGTTACTTTGGTCCCGGGTTCAAATCCTGACACATCATCAATGGATTTTATCTAAGTGATATTGCCGCAACCCCTAGGACAAAAAAAAAGACTGGAGGCAAAAGTAATTTTATAAATTTTAAAATTCAGCTACAACTCAAATTCAGATTAATTTTTGTTTAGTATTTAGTTAAAAATGATTGTGAAAAAAATAAAATCTAAAGTTAAATGCAATGATAATTTGTGATTGTACTATAGTATAGTGTGTTGTAATATGATTTAGTCATAGATCTTCTTATACAGAATTGTTGATAGAGAATGAGCAAAATATACTGAATAGGCCTACTTGATAAATTTCTAGGTCTATAGATAATTATCTTCAGACTGTAATGTGTGTTTTTACTTTAATTCAATTTGAATTTCATACAAAATTGTACATAATTTAAAACGTAAAGGATGACAATAGTGTCTGAAAACCTCTCCGCGCTGTGGCAGTACATCTTAAATTTGGTCCTAATCTTAAATTATGACTGTCCAGAATGTGCCATAAATATGTTGAGTCAAAACCCACCCATTCTTGTGTCACTCTTATTTTTATAAATGTTGGTTGGCTTTAGAAAATGGGTTAAGGGTTTAACAAATGTTGGTATTTACTGTTAATTCCAAATTATTAGCTCTAACATTGATGCAATTTTTTAGAGTTGAATTTTAATTAGGAAAATATAGTTTGGGAGGACTTAAAAGCAAATGTGGTACAAAAATGGTTTAATTCAAAAAATTTCCCCTAAAAACATGAAAATGCCTAATTTGATTTTTTAACAGCTATTGTATTAAGCTTAACAAACAAATAATTTGTTAGATTGAAACGTTGTTGTATGATTATAAGTTACCGTACAGAAATTTCCAAATTTTTCTTACCAGTAAAAAGAAATGCTATAGTTTGCTAGTTTATGTATATTTTGATACAATTAGAAAATGTATTCAATATCAAACTAATAGGTCTATCATAGAAAAAAAAAAACACTTAGCGAATTTTCCATATAGGGAAAAAGCTATTGCCGTAGGTCTCATGGTAAGACCTGGACCCGGGACCGATTTACTTTTTAGTTTTGGGATCCAGTTATCTTCCTAACAGACGCATATATACATTTTTATGTACCGTATGTGTCCGTTAGCATGATAACCCAAGCAAAAATGATCCCATTTTGATGAAATTTGGTATAACTGTGTAAACCTACATTTATTCGAGCGAGTTTGCGAACCAGCATGATCGGACTATGGGAACAGGGGTTTATGGGGGTTTTATGGGTTTTCACCCTGAAAACAGACAATTTTGAAATTTCTTTCCAAACCATTTTGTAGAGCTCAAAAAACAAATAATTTAGTATATTGAAGCATTGTTGTTTGCCTAACAGAAAAAATCCAAATAGCGTTTGAATTTAAAATTACTTTATTATTCTTATGGAGAATAAAATAAACCGTTGTACCGTATCTTGCTTGTCTATGAACATATTTTAATGAAATTTGGAAAATTTGTTGACTTCATACTAAGCTATCAATATTTCAATTAAAACGCACCTTATTGTCTTCCCTGTAGCAGCAAACCT